TTATATGAAATCTAAATTAAAATAGCTAAGTAAATTTATAAGCGTAAATAGTATTATATAAAGAAAGCTATCGGTAAAATTGCATAAATAATTTTTACCACCAAAAAATGAGATATCGATGTATTTAAAACTGGCGCATAAAAATATAACTGTATATTGCTCCTAGGTAAAATAGTAATTCTCTTTTTTTTTCTTAACTAATTTTATTTTATTATTTTTGTTCTTTTATATATATATATATATATATATATATATATATATATATATATATATAAAGTGTTAGTGAAAAAACTTACAAGATAAATAAAATTGCAAAATTACAATTGAAAATAAAATGAAGAAATTAATTTATTCAGGCTGAGGCGCGGATATCTCGCTCTCTTTGAGGATATTCAAGCCCACAGAATCAAATGTTTTCACCGGTCCAGCAGTGGTCTTCTTTGACTTGTCCCCTCCAGGGTACAACAGTCTCACAAAGTATAACTCAACAACTCTAGACAAGAGTTGAGAGTCTAAAGCTCCACAAAAAAGAACATCTCCCTTCAACTAATAAGAACTCTCTTTTAGACTAACTTTTTCACTATTTGTTTTCTCTTATATTTTGTGTGTACCAAACCTGATGAAGACCACCACTATTTATACTACAAGAAGTCTACCTAGCAATGAATAGGAAGAAATGGAGATAGTAAATAGTGAAGATAATGACCTTAGGAGTTTCATACGTTACAATAAGAGTTACACAGGTTACAAAGAATAATGGAGGAATTAAGAATGAAATTAAGTGATGGACAATCAATGCTAATGGATGATGTAGAAGTTATCCATTCCAATGTTTATTGGAATGTTTTTATCTCACAATTAATTCAACCAATAAAGAGAAAAGTAATGGCATTACATGACTACCAAGTCAAAGATGAATATCATGATTAAATTAGTAGTTTAAAACACAAATGCCTACCAATGGTCATTCTTATAATTCCAAAATAAAAAAATTTAATATATTAAATATTAATATTAAAATGCTAATAACCTAACATAAAGTTATTTTGGTATGAAAATTTCTTAACTCGCTTTATAACAATTAAATATTAAAAAATATGACCGTGTGAAATACAATTTAATTAACTAGTTCCAAGTAAAGAAGGACAAATTTAAAATATTTATATATAATTACTGTAGATAGAATTAAAATACTTATTTAATCTCTATTAGGACACTACTAATATTGGATGTATCACTAATAAAAGACATAATACATAATTGTACCCTTTACTTTGGTTTCAAATTATATTTATGCTCTTCATCTTTGAATATATACAAATAGACACTTAAATTTGTATAAAGTTGAACAAATAGATACACATGTCCCACATGTCATTCTACAGTCATTTTTTGTCCTACGTGTAGTGTTCCAGGTAAGACTTATGTATTTATTTATTTAAAAGTTGGATAGTTAAACTACATATTTATGCATTATAAAAATTAAAGGTAAAAATTAAAATTTGTAGTCAAATTTAGAATTTAAATATATATGTATTAAGCCTTAATAAGATATGTTCAATCGAACTCTTTGAATTATGAAAAAGTAAAAAAGTGAAGTGAGAGAGTAATTTGTTGGAAGAAAAAGTAACAAACGGTAGATTAGTAATGGCATGTCACGTCATATTCGGAGGAAACAGGACCATTTTTTTAGAAGGATGGTCCAGTCAAAGTTGATACGCAAGCAACAAAGTACAGAATAAATAGGGTTATAGCAGAAGAATAAAAAAAAATAGTAACAGCTGCATTAATATAGGACACAACATTAATGGTTATGGGTATTCAGTTGGAGAATTTTGTGGAGTCGATTAAAGAAACCATATATCAAGATGGACAAAAGCTCGAGTGTTGAGATTGAGATTCGCAGCAAGAAAGCTCGTTGAGAAAACACTCCAAGCTGCTGGTCGTCCTGGCAAGCGTAGCCTTTAGTTTTATTTATTAATTTCGTATTCACCAACAAAACGGAGGTAAATTTCAAAATTTAGAAAATATTGGGTTCAAACTAGTTGTACTTGATTAAATACATTTTACTTTTAACATTTTTCGTTCCATTGAACGCACTCTTCATCGATCGGAAAAGTTGGGCATTTGGACTTCGATTGTGAGGCTAGTCTCGCGCGGTCGCCCCATGACTCTCTATATTTGTTTAAATCTGGGAATATTGTTTACGTAATTGTGAAAAGGAACAAAATTTAGGAAATTTTTGTTAGTGTATTTGTAACTTGAGTCTGAAAAAAAATAGATATCTGATATTTTTCTTTTTACATGAGATCTATCTTTTTCTTTTGAGAACTACTCTCTCTCTTTTTTTTTTTTACTTGTCATGTTTTATTTTATAAGAGATAGTTTAATAAATTTTTGGAGCTATTTATGTTAGAATAATTCAATATTTAGATGTTCGAAAACTATTTGAAAAATTCTACAAATTGCAATTTTTCTCTAATAATATATCTTAAAATGTTAGTCAAAGTGTACAGAGAAATAATATACTTGTCTACTATTATTTTAAAATGTTCAATAATACTTGTTTAGTTTATAAAATCAATAATACTACTTAATTTTATACTATGTATCGATTTTACCCTTATATTGATATTGTATAGTATTCTTTTTTCAATGTTTAGATGAAGATGATTTTGTAAAATCACCTCTATCACTTACTATCTCTTAAATCTTGTATGCCAACTCAATAGTAGACCGTAGACAACTATTATTGTGAATAAGATGTTAATTTGAGCGTTGTGACTGCATTAGTAGTTGGTAATGTATTATTTATTTATTGTTACATTAAATATCTTAATTAATGCTGCTAGTCTGTGGCTCTTCTATTATGGGAGTAGGTTTTAAGTTTTAACCCAATAACATTAGAATTTGCATATTGATTGCTGGGGTAGGGCATGTAGAAGCCATATATAGCATTATGGGTGGAACAGACAGGGCAATATGGCGACTACCATTTCTAGAAGAAATGTAACTTTACCACTAGTGTGAAGGAAAAATGATGGAACAAAAAGAGAATTTTAGAAATAAAGAATATAATAGATATAATAAAGTTTTGTAGTTATAATTTTGATAATTGTGCTTGATAGTTATAATTTCATTTGCTATGAATATAGATAAACCAAAAATTTTAATAACATCGAGTGCATAACAAATTTAAAATTTGAATCCAGATCTTAAAATAAAAACACTAAAAAGGCACTCTGACTAGATTTGCACCCAAATCCCACAGGAAAATCCTTAGATTTTACAACAACACAATTGAGCTCTTATGCTCTTTATGGGTACACTGTTAATTATATATTAATTATATATTAATGTACGCTAGTTTTTCAAGATAGATACACATATACAGATAGTTTTTTATTAAGATAAATTCAAAAATGAAATGTTTCTTATTACAAATGGACTTTGTCCTCATTGGCGAGGGAATGCAAGACAAGTGTGATTTACATAGAAGCAGCGCTAGACCTATGTTGGAGTAAGCGAGTTCATATCATAAAAAAAAACTATAAAATATATACATATATTTAGTTTAAAATTATAAGTATAAACAAAATGGACCTCCTTTAAACTAATGACAGCCCTTGGTCCAGCAGTAAAGTGGGTTGTTTTTGTGAAAGTACCCAGATTCGAAGCCAGACCTTTTCTGTGAATTATTTTTCTTCATATATTGAAAAATTCTAGGTCTGCCAAGGTATTAAAGCACCTCTTTTAACTCGTGAAGAGTTAAAAAAGAGAATCTATATTGTTTGATTTTAGATTTGAATTTAGTCAAATTATCTGATAGATTGATATCTTTTTTTTTAATCAAATTAACTTCACCAATATAAATGTTGATTAACTTTTCTTCTCTGGAATATTCTTTGGACGTTTGTTAAATTTGTATAATAATTATGACTTTTCCCAATTTGATTCTTTATCCTTGCACCATTAACCATCGTTTGCATAAATATGTGACTGTGTTATTAAATATTACACTTAATTAGTTGAGTTTGAATGATTTTTTACTATTCTTTTTTTTAAAGAGTACATTTAAATTTGGGAAAAAGGACAATATACTCCCGAATTTTAAGAAATGGTATATATATGTCTTTAGTTTTACTTTGAGACTATATACACTCTTGTCGTTCAATATTCAATGCACATTTGCCCCTTCCACTAACGGCACACTCTTTCTGTACACGTAGCATAATCCTAAACTGCTACTCGATTGATCAATTCTTTTAATCCAAGTCCTAAAATCTGCCCATAACCCAACAAATCCACCAAATTTATGGGTAAAATATACTTTCTAAAATTTAAAGAAAAGACCCAAAATTAGCCGATTATTGGACGGCAAGAGTATATAAAGTCGCAAAGTATCATTTTCAAAAGTTCAAAGGTATATTTGTCCTTACGAAAAATGGTCAAATTACAATTCGAACTTCAACTTGAAAAACATCAAATAAAATTTTAATATTTGATTTTCAGGATCAAATGAGCATTTGTAGTTCAATCTGTAAGTTAGTTGACAATGTATCAAAAACTAGTAAGTGGTGTCACCTAACCAGAGAAATCTTACAGAAGACTACAAAACAGCTATTGATATGTTCAATACAAATTTATTTCCTGTAATGTCATATTGATTTATATTACTATTTCAAAGTGAAAATCTTTTCTTTACGTATATATGTATCCTTCCAGATATACCATCAGGTCTCTTAGGGGACAAATAATCATGAGATAAAATGCAGGGTTATTTCAAATAGTATTCCTACTTTGCAATGATCTCAAAGAGACTATGTAGCAGTAAGGTTTTAATGGTGGCAGATAGTCACACATACAAAAAAAAAATTGAATTTGTTGACTTCTCTGAACTAACCTAATTTGATTAAGGGACTCTTGAATTCCTTTACAGATTTATAATTTTCTTTCAAAAACCTTCAAGAATGATGCTCTTCAGTTGGTGTACTACAATATTTTGGCAATATCAGAACAGATGCAAGTGATTATATAATACTACCATTACTCGAACAAATTGAAAGCTTTACATAACCATTATCAACAAGCTAGCGCACAAACAACCCAAAACTCCATAAGAGTAAAGATAAGCTTTTCTGTTAAACAAAAACGCAAACACCTTACTTACAAAACTATTCAAATCCCCCACCAATTTCACAAATCTTATCCCAAAACCCCTTTTCCACCGGCACAACAGACAATCTAGTCTGTTTAAAAAGCACAAAACCCTTCAACCCTTCATCCTTTTTCATCTCCGCAAGGTCCACAACCCTCCTCATCACACCAACCGCCTTGACATCCACCGCACCACCATCATTATCTGTGTACCATTCACGCGTCACTGAAACAACACCAACTATGCGCCGGGCTTTGGAGCCAGAGTGGTAGAAGAAACAGAGATCTCCTATGTTCATGGACTTTAGATACTTCTGGGCTTGCTTGTTTTTGACTCCATCCCATTTTGAAATGCCGCCATTAGCTTCTTGGTCCTCCCATGACCACTCTCCTGGCTCTGTTTTTAATAACCAGTACTCTGTTTTTCGCCCCATTTTGTTCACCTTTGAACTTCCCTTTGTATTCCTTTTTTATATTATTTGTTTGGGACGGCCAATTTCTTAATGGCGGGAGTTTAACAACTTTGGCGCCAAAAACCAGAAATTGTTAGAAGGATGGTCCAGTCAAAGCTGATACGCAAGCAACAAAGTATAGAATAAATAGGGTTATAGCAGAAGAAAAATAAAATAGTAACAGCTGCATTAATATAGGACACAACATTAATGGGTATGGGTATTCAGTTGGAGAATTTTGTGGAGTCGATTAAAGAAACCATATATCAAGATGGACAAAAGTTCGAGTGTTAAGATTGAGATTCGCAGCAAGAAAGCTCGTTGAAAAAACACTCCAAGCTGCTGATCGTCCTGGCAAGCGTAGCCTTTAGTTTTATTTATTAATTTCGTATTCACCAACAAAACGGAGTTAAATTTCAAAATTTAGAAAATATTGGGTTCAAACTAGTTGTACTTGATTAAATACATTTTACTTTTAACATTTTTCGTTCAATGGAACGCACTCTTCATCGATCGGAAAAGTTGGGCCTTTGGACTTCGATTGTGAGGCTAGTCTCGCGCGGTCGCCCCATGACTCTCTATATTTGTTTAAATCTGGGAATATTGTTTACGTAATTGTGAAAAGGAACAAAATGTAGGAAATTTTTGTTAGTGTATTTGTAACTTGAGTTGAAAAAAATAGATATCTGATATTTTTCTATGTCTTTTTCTTTTGAGAACTACTTTCTCTGTTTGTTTTTTTTAGTTGTCATGTTTTATTTTATAAGAGATAATTTAATTAATTTTTGGAGCGAATTTATGTTAGAATTATTTAATATTTAGATGTTCGAAAACTATTTGAAAAATTTTTCAAATTGCAATTTTTCTCTAATAATATATCTTAAAATGTTAGTCAAAGTGTATAGAGAAATAATATACTTGTCTATATTTACTTGTCTACTATTATTTTAAGATGTTTAATAATACTTGTTTAGTTTATAAAATCAATAATACTACTTAATTTTCTACTATGTATCGATTTTACCCTTATTATTGATATTGAATAGTATTCTTTTTTCAATGTTTAGATGAAGATAATTTAGTAAAATCACCTCTATCATTTACTATCTCTTAAATCTTGTATGCCAACTCAATAGTAGACCGTAGACAACTATTACTGTGAATGAGATGTTAATTTGAGCGCTGTGACTGCATTAGTAGTTGGTAATGTATTATTTATTTATTGTCACATTAAATATCTTAATTAATGCTGCTAGTCTGTGGCTCTTCTATTATGGGAGTAGGTTTTTAAGTTTTAACCCAATAACATTAGAATTTGCATATTGATTGCTGGGGTAGGGCATGTAGAGCCATATATAGCATTATGGGTGGAACAGACAGGGCAATATGGCGACTACCATTTCTAGAAGAAATGTAACTTCACCACTAGTGTGAAGGAAAAATGATGGAACAAAAAGAGAATTTTAAAAATAAAGAATATAATAAAGTTTTGTGGTTATAATTTTGATAATTGTGCTTGATAGTTATAATTTTGTTTGCTATGAATATAGACGAATCAGAAATTTATAAAATATCGAGTGCATAGCAAATCTAGAATTCGAATCCGGATCTTAAAATAAAAACACTAAAAGGGCACTCTGACTAGATTCACACCCAAATCCCACCGGTAAATCCTTAGATTGTACAACAACACAATTGAGCTCTTATGCTCTTTATGGGTACACTGTTAATTATAAGTTAATGTACGCTAATTTTTCAAGATAGATACACATATACACACAATTTTTATTAAGATAAATTCAAAAATGAAATGTTTCTTATAACAAATGGACTTTGTCCTCATTGGCGAGGGAATGCAAGCCAAGTGTGATTTACATAGAAGCAGCGCTAGACCTATGTTGGAGTAAGTGAGTTCATATCATAAAAAAAACTATATGATATACATATATTTGGTTTAGAATTATAAGTTTAAACAAAATGGACCTCCTTTAAACTAATGGCAGCCCTTGGTCCAGCAGTAAAGTGGGTTGTTTTTGTGAAAATACCCAGATTCGAAGCCAGACCTTTTCTGTGAATTATTTTTCTTCATATATTGAAAAATTTTAGGTCTGCCAAGGTATTAAAGCACCTCTTTTATCTCGTAAAGAGTTAAAAAAGAGAATCTATATTGTTTGATTTTAGATTTGAATTTAGTCAAATAATCTGATAGATTGATATCTTCTTTTTTTAAAATCAAATTAACTTTACCAATATAAATGTTGATTAACTTTTCTTCTGTGGATTATTTTTTGGACGTTTGTTAAATTTGCATAATAATTGTCACTTTTCCCAATTTGATTCTTTATCCTTGCACCATTAACCATCGTTTGCATAAATATGTGACCGTGTTATGAAATATTACACTTAATTAGTTGAGTTTGAATGATTTTTTACTATTCTTTTTTTTAAAGAGTACATTTAAATTTGGGAAAAAGGACAATATACTCCCGAATTATAAAAAATGGTATGTATATGTTTTTAGTTATACTTTGAGACTATATAGACTCTTGTCGTTCAATAATCAATGCATATTTGCCCCTTCTGCTAACGGCACACTCTTTTTGTACACGTGGCATAATCCCAAGCTGCTACTCGATTGACCATTCTTTTAATCCAAGTCCTAAAACCCGCCCATAACCCAACAAATCCACCAAATTTATGGGTAAAATATACTCTCTAAAATTTAAAGAAAAGACCCAAAATTAGCCGATTATTGGACGACAAGGGTATATTAAGTCGCAAAGTATCATTTTAAAAGTTCGAAGGTATATTTGTCCTTATAAAAAATGGTCAAATTACAATTCCAACTTCAACTTGAAAAATATGAAATAAAATTTTAATATTTGATTTTCAGGATCAAATGAGCATTTGTAGTTCAATCTGTAAGTTAGTTGACAATGTATCAAAATCTAGTCAGTGGTGTCACCTAACTAGAGAAATCTTACAGAAGACTACAAACCAGCTATTGATATATTCAATACAAATTTATTTCCTGTAATGTCATATTGATTTATATTACTAATTTCAAAGTGAAAATCTTTTCTTTACGTATATATGTATCCTTCCAGATATACCATCAGGTCTCTTAGGGGACAAATAATCATGAGATAGAATGCAGGGTTATTTCAAATCGTATTCCTACTTTACAATGATCTCAAAGAGACTATGTAGCAGTGTCATGACCCAAAACGAGCCGCGAGTGGTACCCACACTTATCCTACTATGTGAGCGAACCAACCAATCTAAACCCCAACATTTCAACCATAATAAACATAATATAATGCGGAAGACTTTAAAACTCATTAATATAACCAATAAATAACTTCTAAAATTTATTAACTATCATCCCCAAAATCTGAAAGTCATCACCACAAGAACATCTATCCTCAAATTACTAAATCTAAGAGTATCTAAGAAGCTAAATTAAATAAACTGCTAGTCCATGCCCGAACTTCAAGGCATCATCATTAACAAAGTGGATTTAAGGTTTAAGATTCACAGCCTTATCTTTCCAATCCATTACAATCACATAATCACATCATGCAAGCACACAATTAAGCATATACAAGACTTTACAATACTATCCAATACATATCATTCGATATTAAGAGTTTACTATGAAATAGCATAAACCAAAACCTACCTCCACCGAAGAATCGCGATCAAACAAGCTATCTTCCCAAAACCTTTGCTTTCCTCTGCGTTCTTCTCTTTCTCTCGCTCGTTTCTCCCTTCTTTTCCTTGCTCTTTTTATTTTTCTTATTCAAACCCTTTTTCTTTTACCCTAATTGTCATATAATTAAGTATAAAAGATGATAAAAATAACCCACTATTTATTTCAAGGTTATCTCCTTTAACCCCCAAGTAATTGAATTATTAACATTAACCCACTAACTTTATAATTATAAGCATGAATAGTCCAAACGCCCCTTAAAAACTTTTAACAGAAATTCGACTCAGTCAGGGTTACGCAGCCTGTGACGGTCCGTCCTGCAGGTCCGTCACAAAGTTCAGAGAGTTAATTTCTGTGGAAAGGTTTGTGACGGTCCGTCGTGCCTACGACGGTCCGTCCTACAGTTCCGTCACGAAGTTCAGAGAGTTAATTCTGTGGAAAGATTTGTGACGGTCCGTCGTGCCAATAAATTTTATTTCTGGAACGACCTGTTTAGTCATTTTGAGCAACAAATTTTATTTCTGGAAAACTGGCCGAGACGACGGATTCCACGACGAACCGTCATGGGCACGACAGACCATCGAGGGGGTCTCGTTCCAAAACACTTAGAATTCTGAAATTTGGGTACTGAAATCGACTCTCTGAACTTCGTGACGGAATGGCAGGATGGACCGTCGTGGGCACGACGGACCATCACAAACTCTTCAAGAAAATTGAGTCTCTGAACTTTGTGACGGAAGCAGTAGGACGGACCGTCATGGGCACGACGGACCGTCACACATCTTCCACAGAAATTAAGTCTCTGAACTTTGTGACAAACCTGCAGGACGGACCGTCACAGCCATGACGGACCGTCACAGGTTGCGTAATCCCAGGCTGGGTCGAATTTCTGTTAAGTAAATTAAGGGGCGTTTTGGACTATTCCTGCTTTAATTATAAAGTTAGTGGGTTAATGTTAATAGTTTAATTACTTGGGGGTTAAAAGATATAACCTTGAGTTAATTAATGGGTTAATTCCTCATCTTTTATACTTAATTATATGCTAATTAGGGTAAAAGAAAGAGGGTTTGAATAAGAAAAATAGAAAGAACAAGGAGAGGGAAAGAGAAACGATCGAGAGAGATACGAACGAAGAGGAAATACAAGCTTTGGGGAATTTGCTTGCTTGATCACGAATCTTCGGTGGAGGTAGGTTATGGTTTTTATGCTATTCGTAGTAAACTCTTAATAGCGAATGATATGTATTGGTAGTATTGTAAACCCTGTTATATGCTTAATTGTATGCTTGCATGAATGTGATTATATAATTGTGATAAAATAAGCATGATGAAGCTATTGAATCATAAATCTTGAAAAACCCTAATCTCTTTGTTAATGATGATGCCTTGGTATAAGAGAA